AATCACTCACTGTGATGTGAAATCACTGGCAAAATAAACTTTTGTTCGACTCATGTGGGAGGTTTGTCAGCTGCAAAAGAAGCGTGCGCATCAGACGATATTTAAAACTGATGAGAACGTATCATCCACCACTGCACTCAAATTATCGGGAGTCTGAAAAGCCATGTTTCCTCTTATCATCCTCATCACATGATTTTCATTAGAAAGACTTCAAGATACCAATTAGCACCAATCTAAAGCTCACACCAATGCCTTCATTGCCATTTTCATATATGAATGGCTATAGATAAACAGTAAAATGGCATTAAATGTGTCGCAAACAAGATCCAGTGAGTATAAATTCAAGCAATAAAGTATACTAAGCACAAGTTACAATTATGGGAACTGACTGGTTCAGTTTTAGTCTTTTGATAAACATGTTGTCGAGAGATGGCGTAACGCTGGGCACGTCAGCGTTAAAGAGCGGCGCTGCATGAGGGATGTTGAACTGCTGGCGGTTGGTTTCCAGCCGTTCTATCTGCTGCGGGAGTTTTCCTGGCAATCGCAGTTTACATCCCCCCCTCGGCTGATGCTGCTGCGGCCTGTGAGCTCATCCATAGTTCAGCGTCCCAGCTGCAAACATCACACCCTCAGTCTGTGATCGTCATCTCAGGAGGCTTTAATCATACATCACTCTCTACCACTCTCCCCACATTCAGCCAGTATGCGGACTTCCCAACCGGAGACGGTGGGGCCTTGGACCTGCTGTGTGTGGACACCGGGGATGCATATTACTTAATTACTGTTATTTCCTTGTACTTTCTTTCTATATTTTTTGATGCTGCTGTGGTGTGTAAATTTCCCTCAATGGAGGACCAATAAAAAAAAATAAAAAATTCTATTCTATTGTCAGAGGAATTGTATGCGCATTTCTGTGCTTTTAATTAGTATATTTTCTAACCACTTTGAGCTGTTGTCATCTGTGTGTACAGTTACCATGGCTACACATGCTAATACTGTCTACTGCAAGGTTAACGGAAATAGCCAAGTGTCTATGTCCCACTGATCTGCAGTGATGCAACAGATGAACTCTTAACAGTACGTCAGGTATTATCAACAGAACCACGCTCTCTACTCTTGCCCTGCTCGCCTAGCAAAAGCACAAGATTGTGTATGATTATCGTATTATATGCAGCCGCTTGTGCTTCCTGCTACTGAGCAGCGACGTCTTTGCTGATTCATGCTGTTTATTCAGTTGTGCTTGAGAAGGCATGCTAAATGGGTGGGAAACAATAATACAGTTACATGATTTCTCTAGTGAACATCCAGAGGACATCTTCCGGTGAGTCTACCATTAATCTCGACGCTCAATCATTCCTCTTAGCAGCAACACAACATCAATCTGACTGGAAGTAACGTCAGCGTTACATCCACATCACCCGTGTTGCACAACCAGTGCTAGCTGCTGCCTGTTCATAGTTGGTCTGAGCTGTTTAACACTCTTCATTGTAATTTGTTGATGAGTTTAGTTACATCAGATAATGTTACTGAATGTAAGGTGCTTCTCATTAACAGCAGCACAGCGCTTAAGCTGCCTCTGAACAAGATATTTCAGGTGTCAGAGGAAGCTTCCTTCATTCAGGAGCAGCTATGTGACTCCACACATGATGCAGGCTTCTGAATAGGTGTTCAAAATGGCATGCTGATTCTGACCAACGCCATCAGCAAGCAGCATGTGACAAACTTCCGGTATACCACAAAACACCCAGATAACATTTGACAGGACGCAATTTAAGCTACCTGCTCGATGCACTGCATCCCATAATGCACTACTGTCATTCATCAGCACCGGAAATGTAGGCGAAGTGGTGGACGCCTCAAAAGACCAATGTCCAGCAAGAAACACAATCTACTACAGGTGCTCTGGTAGAATTTGCTATGATTTGGTAGGATTTGTTTGAAACACTGGAATTAGCTGAGATGCTGTGAAGGGAGCCAGCAATTGATATGATCCATTTAATTTCTAGCAAATCATTTGAGCTAGATTTCTATGTCTATCTTAATATTGCTATATCCTACAAGCCTGGTGGTCATGTGACTCTGTGGTACACCGCATTCATTTTCACAAACTGTAACAAATGCTGTACACGTCAATAGGAAGTAGCTCATAGTATACAGCATGTACTTATGTAGTATGCAGCGCCCAAGAACGTGAATCCAAACATACTGTTTGTGTAAAACAGAGTTTAGTTCATCAGTTTTTAGTCCATCTTAAACCTGTTGCTTAGTTTTATTTCATTGATTACTAAACCTTTCATCGTAGTTCTCATCCTGAAATACTGATTTTTACTTCATTTTAGCTTTGTTTTCATTATCAATTAATATTATTTCTTGACAAATTTTATCAAGTTAACGACTGGCTCCAGATATTTTTGTTAAGTATAGTGCGTGCTCTCAAATCAAAATGTGGGGAAAGCTGTTCTGTACAGACCTTTTGTCACCACTTTCTACAGTCTGACTCTAAAAATTGCTGCAGGAATAAAATCTGGTAGAGAAACCTGGCATCTGTTGGTATTCATGTATGGTTGAGGTCAGGAAACTGTTGTCCTTCTCTGAGTGGAAAGGCTTTAACACCCGTCATGGCAGACAGGTAAATGGATGCACTGGCTGCTGCTCCCAGCAGCTGAAAGCCTGTGGTCAGTGTGTTAGGGCCTGTTGGTAAGCATGTGTTGCTTACAGTTTGCTGTCTGGGTAAGTGACTTTGCTTTTTGCAGTGTTGCAGTGTCTGTCTGCTGCCAAAGCACATTTTCAGACTCTGCCTTATTCCAACTGTAACTCACTTCTTCCAGCATACCCTCACAATACGGGCACAGGTAATGTAGAAATGCAAATGTTACGTATCTGCTGAAAGTCACCACACTACTGGAGCTGCATTTACATTTCACACAATAAAATGGAAATTCAATGTGAGGTGAGGTGAGGGGGGACTATGTGCCCTCCCAGATTACCATCTTTAGCTCCTAAAATAGAAGACCTAATGGGAAAAAAAGTGAATTAAACCAAATATCATTAAAGCCCGGTGCACCACCTGGGCCCCGGACATTTCCCTCAACATCGTCCAAGGCTTCTCCAGGTCTGTTGATTCACACCAGAGGGAGCGGGACAGATGGTGGTAAACACACCAAGCTGTTTTGCAAACTGCAGTCCCAAATATCTCCTCCTCTGCACTTGGGCAGGGTCACCTCAAGGCTCTGTAGTGTTGCACAGCACACCTAACTGTGTAACACTAGCAAAGGTATGGGATGTTGTGTATGCTGGTCTGACTTCTGCCTCTCTGTTAAATTCTATTTGTGTTTGTTTTGTTGTCCTCTGTAGCTTTTGTATAAATTAATAATCTTATGTTTGGGTTATTTTATTACAGCCAATGTTGCTCAAACGGCCTTTGAAGCTGCGCAGTGCACGGTTTTTATCTGAAATATAAAATCATTTCATCAAAGACAATAATAAACATTACCATCGTTCGAACAAACATCATTTGTTTTTCACTCGAGGCTTTCAAGCGTGAAGACTTTATAGTCCTGCCAAATGAATGAACTGTGTGTGGCACAAACTGGGAGGACGGCTGCAATCCTACAGTTTAGACTCACTGAAAAGTTTTTGGACGTGGTTCACCGAATGAGTTTCTAAATCTTGATGGAACAAAACCATAACACTGACGGTCTGATGCAGATAAAACGCTCCAGCCTCTGTTATCTCTTGCCATGGCATGTAGAGAATGTCTTTTCATTTTTCAGTCTTCAGAATCTGTTTTTAACAAATCTCTGAGAAGGCCACAGCAGTGACACAGCAAAATACTTATCATCTGACCTTCCATTAGTAAAACCATAACCCAAAACATGCAGCGATACCGTAGCTTTCTCTGTGTTTTGCAGAATTCTCTAAACTTTCAAAAAAATATGTTAAGGTGATACGATCAACTTAGATTCAGTGTTTTACTCACAGCAATCGTGACTTTTCTTTCCTATAAAATGAAGATATGCCTTTCTTCTGTGTAGTTTTTTTCTTAGAAAAGTTATCAGGACACGTTTCCTGCTTACAGGTAATTCTGACTGGACAGAATCTGCACCACATTTCTGACAAAAACCATCGAGTTGGATGGGATGCACAACCTCGCCAGATCTGCTGTGGACTTGGCGATAGATCCTCCTCCTCATGGCGGCAAAAACATTTTGTTGTGGGCTGGATAGTTTGAATTGTGTCAAAACTACACCACCAGCTGCTGCCTGTTCGTTGCGGAGTCCAGAGTTTTGGCTGATGCAACGATGTAGCTACAGCAGTCGTTCTCTTGGCCGTTTCCCATCTCTGCCTGCTTGCCTCAGCACCGCTGCTTCAATCATCCAAGAAGAACACACATCTGAGGTCAATGCAGACAAATGGTGTGTTTCTGTGATAACGTCTATCTAAAACCGTTCACCACCCTGAGGTCAACAGAAAAAAGCCTGAAAGTCACGAAAAGCTTTATCGACATTTATGAAGTATTTGCATATAAGCTTCCTAACATCAGTGTTGTGTGTCAAATAAACGGAGACTCAGATCTTCACTTCAGCATGTGAATGCGCCTCCAGGAAGAAATTTACAGCTCGCTCTGCAATTCTAGCGCGATTAAACTATACCACTACAAAAACTGTGTGTCTTCAACAGAAACCGGTGTGGACGTGCGCTTCATTATGATGGATTAGTTATGCTGAGCGAGTTTTACAGTCTCAGTGAGGTGCTTTTACTGAAAGAACTCACACCAGTGAGGCCTTGGAAGGTAAAAGTATGCAGTGACCGTTGACACTCGGGTGCCAGGACACACTGAGGATGTTCGGCGAAACCGGCTCAGCAAACAGGCGGGAATAATGGGAACAACACTGTTTCTCTGTCAGACCTGAGACAGGATGTCTGTGGCACCGCTGCAGCTAAAAACAGGCTTCGCTCGATTCCACAAGCCAAACCGAGTGGCGGATGTGTCTGCTCACCTTTTTTCCTGTTGAAGGCGCGGTTCATAGTGGAAATTGTGCGTCTCTGAGGTCCCTCCTGAGTATCTGCCAATATTCCACCTGGAAAAGCAGCAGGAAGAAGTGAGTTAAAAACGGCTTCGACCTCAAGCCTTCACTTAAAGGCAGAAAGTCTAAAAGCAAACAGTCTAGTTTGCTCTATAAAAAAACCTTCCCCCCCCTCTGAGAGTGAGGGAAGGTTTAGCTGTCAGAGTGTGTTAAAATTAAACTCCCAGTCCTTCTGCATTACATTTGTTTACCACTGAGCCACATCTTGCTCATCATCTGTAGAGACTGTGCCTTTAACCTTGCCGTGTTGATAAAACAGGACTGGCTGGCCCTACTGTTTTACGGTTCGAGACTTGCAAGATTGGTGATTTCTATCAAAGGGAGGAAACGGTGTCGCAGAGAAAAATGAAACAGTGTTGACCGTGATCCTCTTACAGTCAGTGGCATTAACATTCTAATCTTTCCAACAGAACTAGGGCAAATGTTTCTGTCCAACTGCTTCAGCTGCACACACAACGTTCACAGAGCGTAGACCCTAAAAACTAAAACCGTACAGTTTAGTCATCACGAGGGATGCCAGAGCTGAACTTCAGTGTGTTGTCACTAATCATCTCCAGATTCAGTCATAAAATTAGCACTTACACAGACAACACTGGTATACACATTTAGTCCACTCATGCTGACATTGTCTTGGTAAAGAGATGAATGTGGGTTGTGGCAAAAGTCAAACGTTCTTCTCTCTGCAGCAGTACATGCAGGTTGTGTCCTCACACACAATCTGGTCGTATGTTGACGCTGTGATACCCTACAGAAAAAAAGGAGGGGACTGTTTTTTTGCACATGCGAAACATCCACCTCCACACCGTCTCCAAATGTGACACTGCTTTGAGTGCTGTCAGGCCTTTGCATCAATTCCCCATGAGAGTTAAGCAATCTAGAGTGCAAGGACAAACTGTCCAGCACTAGGTAGCTGTCAGCATGCTCCACAATCAATATTCTTTACTCTTTTACTGTTGGAAAATATGCAGGGTCTGCTGCATAACAGCCATTTCAATCCTTGCCTTTGCAAACACATTAACTTGTGCCTGAGCAATTTAGAAAATGAATTGAATTTTTCCATCCCTGGCATTTTCCATTTATCATGCAAAGCCTGAGCTATTATGAGTTTTAGTGAATGGAAAAACAAATCCTGCTCAGGCTCAAGCACCATACTGTATTCGATGACAACCTGTCACAATTTTAGAGACAAGGTTTGGTGTTGGCGCTCTGCGTGCACAACCTAGAACACCCACCGGATTAGGAAGTAATATCATTTTGCTTTTTTGACAAAACATCGATCAGCCACAACATGAAACCTCCTGCCTAATATTGTCTAAGCAGGTTCCCTTCATGCTGCTAAAACAGCGCTGACTGTCCACAGACCTCTGCAGGTGTCCTGTGGTATTAGGAGGTGGGGCCACCGTGAATCTAACCAATCGATCTCAGGTTTTTCCAGCGCATCCCACAAATGCAGGATCAGACTAAGTTGTGGGAAATTTGGAGCCTTAGTCAAAACTTCAAACTCGTTATGTTCCTAAGCTATTTTTGCAGTATGGCGGGGAGCATTTCCCTGCTGAAAGAGGCCACTGCCATCAAGAAATAGTGTTGCCATCGAAGGATGTATGTAGTCTGCAGCAATGTTTAGGTGGTACGTGTTAAAGATACAGCCACGTTAATGTCTGGACCCAATGTTGCTCAGCAGATCATCGCCCAGAGCATCACATCGCCGACTTGCATACTTCCCTAAGTGTAATCTGCTGCTGTCTTTTCCCTAAGTAAATGATGCACAGACACCATGCTGTCCCAATAAACATCATTCGACAGATCACTCCATCTTCTTCTATTGCTCAATGATCCAGTTCAGATGCTCACATGCCCATTGTTGGTGCCGTTAGCTGTGGACAGCACACAAGCTGCGATCCACTGTGTGTTCTGAAACCCTCCTATCAGTTTGTGGTACGCTTAAAAAACTGCAAAATTACACAAGTGGTAGGTTTACCAGAGTGTAGAGATGGAGATTAATTATAATTACACACCAGCATTCAATCATCATAGCTTCAAACCAAAGCATACATACATGGACTGAAGGTCTTTATAGACCAAAAAATGTTTGGATTTATTTAAAGCACACTTGCAGAACATTTATGATGTGCATAAATCAATTTTAAAAGGATGATGTCTCATTCAAAAAGGAACCAGAGACATTTAGATCTCATTCAAGCCCACATTGATAATTAAACCCAATGCATAATATGGAGGATCTGAAAGGAACTAACCAGAGTAAAAACACCAACAACTATGACATGGCTCAAAATAACAAGCAGCCAGGGTCTGAAGAGTAGAAACACATGTCATCTTCCATGAATTATACAGTTCACACCACATGATCTGTAGATATCCTCAGACACATATCGATGCACAGAACTGAGACCTAGAACGCTGAAGCAGCACCCAGCCTGACCGGATATGACCCAGTCGCGAGGCAGATCTGTCGAGAGCTGCATCCTGGATTATGCTGCCATTCGTAGTATATTCCATTTCAGTGATTTCTACAAGTTGGCTAGCTTGATAAAATTAATCGAACAAATGAGATTTCACTGGTCGGTACGGTATCCTGTCTCTTATTACTTCTCACAAAACTTTGTCTCATCACCTGCCAAAGCAACAAACACTGAGGACGTTTATGCTGCATGATGCCTTGTATGTTGCCTTGCAAGGCTGCTGGATTCTCGTGGCATTTGTGAGATAATGATCACAAGAGACTCCATCTTGCCAGGCTTCAAGCGATGTCCTTGTGGCCGATCCACAGATGTTGGGAACACTGTGCTATGAGAAGCTCCTGGCAACTATGGGCATGTGAGTGTTAGACGGTGATAGACAGATGGTTCATTCGATCACATGCCAAACACTTTTTGGAAAGTGTCTTTGCTTTTCCAAGCAGCTTCAAACAGGATGTTTTCTCAGATGGCTCTGTGTAACAAACAATCCAGTTCATCAGGTTGCCTTGTATGATGCACAAACACCAACTATGGGGTTGACGTTAATGACGACATTCAGAAAATAGGCCGTTACACAAACAGAATTATCAATTTGGAGCAAAGAAATAGATAAAAACTGAAACTGATCACAGTTATATGGGAGGTAAATGGATCATTAGCTTTGACTGAACTGGGTGCCACCAGAGTCATGCTATTGAGTCAAATATTTTTATTATTGTGAGGAGGAGCTGCTACCAAACAAACAAACAAACAAACAAACAAACAAACCATCCTTTTTTTTTAAAAAGGCACATCCAATACAAAGCTCCAGTTCTTTTTGAACTTTGCATTCAGTAGGCTCTGAAAATGAGAAACTAATCTTCCCACGGCGCATAATAAGGCGCATAATGATATTTGGTGTATAACTGAGGGCAACACAAATACAATATATGTGGGTTCTCACTGTAAGGGGATCTTTGACTCAAACAGAGGCCCAGGAAAGGGTTGGAGAAAATTTAAATGGAACAAGCTTTAGGGTGGGGACTGGGACATTCCTCAGTCTGCCAAAACAGAATATCTTTGCTTCTGAAAGAGACAACTTGTGTTCTTTATTTACAGGTCTAACTGATGAAAGCATTGCACGGGCAGACGGACAAGGACGCCACTATTGTTTACATTTCACCAAAGACAAAGAGTGAATTTTGCAGATCTGTGCATTAAAGCACTACAGTATCTACACAGTATCTGGCTTTCCAAAATAAGACTTTGACAGCAGTGGCCTTGATACTTTTAGAGAAGCTGCTATTTAAGCAACTTAGCAACTCTTCCAAGCAACTCAGACATGTTTTTTTGCAGCGAAACAGGACCGCGCTAAGAAAACACAGATTGCCTTTGATGGTTTTTACTATTTTCATCATAAAAGCCTTTTTCTTTTTTTTAAAAAAACAAAAAGCAGCACTTTAAAGATGTGGTACACCTCAGAAACAAAGGCAAAGTAGACCAAAAACATTTTAAAAACCCTCTCCACCTTTTTAAAAAGCACAAAAAGCAGCTTAGATTCCATTAGTGCAATGTGTGACAACAGATAAGGGATTGAAAACTGGCCAGGCTTTTTTTTCCTCCAATACTGAATCACTGAAAAATGCCATAATTGGCCCCAATCCCGATCATGTTTACTGGCCTAGGACATCCCTAAATGTCACCACTAAGAGCTTTAAGTTCTTAAAACTAGATTGCCTCATTTTGGCAACCGCAGCGGAAAGGTCTGGCAGCAGTCGCAGCCTGGCTACCTTTTTGTTTGTTTGTGACATACTTGGATGTAATGCAATGCTTTGCCTGACACTTGACTGTGATGTCACTCATTTTGATTGGCAGCTGCAGTGTTGGGCCTGTTTTAATAGCTTCCTGTCTGGTGATTCAACAGCACCCCCCTGGGAGAACTGCCGACCCCAAGACACAAAGACACACACACACACACACACACACACAAACACACACAGCCCTAACACTGAGCTGCAAACATCCTCAGCCTCCCTTCGATGTTTACCAGCTGCAGTGGAAGCACCGGTATAGGTCTACTGAACTCCTCACTAGAAGAAGTGTGTAGTGCACATACATATATATATATATATATACATATACGGCTCAACAACAATCCACAGTGAGCTCAACTGAACAATCATCATTTTTATTCTACATTATTCTAAATGCTCCAACAATATTAGGTCGACTAAGGAAAGTAAATGGGCACACAATCCAGGATAAAAAGGTCATTATGATGCATTTACAATGCACTATCAAATACAACACTGAAACAAACACTGTCTGACAGACTTAAACACAAATAACGTCTGTTCTGAATTGTGTTTGTGGAATCTTTTAAGGAAAAAAAGGGAAAAAAATGGGCCAGCGTTTCACTTACTTAGAATACCCTCCTCCCAAACACACAGCAAAAACCATGTCCAAGAGTCTTACGAATCACCTCCAGTGACTCAAACATTTGGAATTTAGCTTGGGAAAGAATCTTTCTGGAAATGA